GTCTGACTGTGCTGATGGTGACTGACTGTGCTGATGGTGTCTGACTGTCTGACTGTGTGCTGATGGTGTCTGACTGTCTGTCTGACTGTGCTGATGGTGACTGACTGTCTGTCTGACTGTGCTGATGGTGACTGACTGTGCTGATGGTGACTGACTGCCTGTGTGCTGTCCTCAGGCTGCCAGCCGGGAGGTGGAGCGCGACTTTAACTCTGTCTACTCCAGGCTGGTGCTCTGTAAGACCTACAGGTGAGGAGGCTGGCTGCCACTGGGGGTGGCCCCAGGGTGGAAACGTTTCAGTCCCCTGATGGCGATGCGGGGCAGTGCTTCAGCGGTCAGTAGGATGTGCGGAGCCTTCGGAGCTGCTCTGCGTGGCTCGAGAGGGAGAGCGTTTCTCAGAGAGCCTGCCGGGCACAGTCATCAGTATCAGTCTGAGCACCTGCTGCTAATGACTAGGATGATGTAGATCAGCCATAACTCGGTGAAACGAGCTGCTGACTATAGTAACCGGGCCTTTCCGGTAGTCATGCTGCTAACTGTTTAACGTCTATGTGGATGTAGTCGTCGGTTTGTGTTTTGCCGCCAACAAGCTGGAAGTGTTAATTAAGCCAGATTGCGTGTCGTGACGCATACATGAGTCTCCCTAAAACGGCAGTCAGGATGGCAGGGGGTACGAGGTGGGCTCAAGGGTGACGAGCTGACCTCTCACTGCAGGTTAGACGAGGATGGCAAGGTGCTGACCCCAGAGGAGCTGCTCTACAGGGTGAGTTTGCCTCTGTGCCCCCCCACCCCAGTGACACGTAGCCCTGCGCTCACGCTGAGCTCCGTCCCACCTCCCCAGGCTGTACAGTCTGTGAACATGAGCCACGACTCTGCACACGCCCAGATGGACGTCAAGTTCCGCTCGCTCATCTGCGTCGGCCTGAAGTGAGCTTGCTGTCACTCGTCTCGTCGCAAGTCACAATCATACCTGCATATAGTTGTGTGCAGCTACACGCTTGCGCACATGTGCACATTCAGCCCCGGTACATACTGTACACGTGCAGCCACACAGATACATAGGCCGGTACCAAGTACTCTTTCTCCCCCTGGTGGCAGCGAGCAGGTACTGCACCTGTGGTTGGAGGTTCTCTGCTCCAGCATGGCGGCGGTGGAGAAATGGTACCAGCCATGGTCCTTCCTCCGCAGCCCAGGTTGGGTCCAAATCAAGTGTGAGCTGAGGTGAGACCCCGGAGCCGCCTGTGACCCATATTGCTGGTCTTGTTGCTTGGCAACAGTGTTTTGAGAACAGGCTAAACGAATGATGTCATCAGTTTAAAAATAGGTTGATTCACATGGGATTCTGTTTTCAGGGTCCTGTCCAAATTTGCCTTCAGCCTCTCACAGGATTGCGAACTGCCTGCAAAGAAGGAGGTAAGTGCTGTCCGCTGACTTCACATTTAAGCCTGGAAGCATGC